CTCTACTCTCTACTCTCTACTCTCTACTCTCTACTCTCTACTCTCTACTCTCTACCTCTTAACCTAGGTACCTTAGGTCATGTACCTTAAGGTGAGGTAGCCGAAATTCCATCTACTCCAACCATGTTCCTCACTATTTCTTTCCCATTAACAGGCGCGTTCCTCATCGTTGATCCATGTCTTTCACTCCCATTGAGCACAGCATACGCCGATGATGGATCGAGTCTTTGTTTTCGGAAGAACGGCTCGCCGAGCTCCACCACACGAGGACCCCTATGACGGAATGAGGCCCAGAGTTCGCTGTGCATCTCTCTCTCTCTCTCCACTCCACCCCTCCTCACCTTAGCCTCGCCTACTCTTGAGGGAGACCATCAATACAAGAGTCTTTGTCCATCGCGGCATCGAGCGCCAAGTGTCAGCTGGCATATATGGCCACAGTGAGCGTTTTCACACAGCACACGATGCGCTGCATGACGGTCATGGCGGGATAATCATGGCTAGATGGAACATTGAGTGTGCGGTAGGCATTGAGTGTGCTGTAGGCACAGTGCTCCGACAGTAGCCACGAGGAACGTTGGCTCCAAGACAAAGACCTGCGTTGAGGCATGCGTCTCTTGGCCATGTCAGCAGGTCCCGCTGCGTTGCAACGGACCACCGACGGGCCAGCGCCATGATGCTCAGACTCCGCGATCGATGACTTCACTCGACGCCGCGCGTGGTGTCCCCCACCCCGCAGTCGGCATTCCCCCATTCCCAACACCCGGCGTACGCTACCTAGGTACCGGACTGACTGGCTACTTGACTGACCCCGAACGCATCCCTCGTCCCCCTCTGTCCTCGTCTCTTCACCCATTCACTGTCACTGCACAGGCAACAACAACATGGCCGACGCGACACACGAGGCTGAGGGCGCCGGCCCAGACGCCAAGCCCGCGCGCGACCTCATCAAGCGCGGCGTCAAGCGTCCCAACAAGCTCGGCACGCTGACCTTCATCGGCCTCCGCGCCCTCGACGTGCCCCTGCAGTACAACCTCCTCGCCGGCGCCCGCTGGGGCCCCGCCCTGCTCGCGCGCCTCGGCATCGCCTCGCGACCCCTCGCCGGCTTCGCCCTGGCCACGGGCCTCGCCCCCCTCGACAACCTGCGCCTGCCGGCGCCACACCTCCTCCTCGTCGCCATGTCCGCCGCCGCCGCCGCCAAGCAGATCTACTGGCTCGTGTCGCTGTCCAACGAGGAGTTCCCCGCCCTCAGCGCCGCCGTGCCCGTCAGCGCCTACAACACGCTCGTCAACTCGCTCAATGCGCTCCTCTTCCTCGCCTCGACGACGAGCGTCCTCGCCGGCCGCGACACCGTCGACCGCCTGCCGCTGCCCGTCCTCGTCGGCGCCGCCCTCTTCGCCGTCGGCATGACCCTCGAGACCGTGTCCGAGCACCAGCGCAAGGTCTTCAAGGACCGCCCCGCCAACGAGGGCAAGGTCATGAAGACGGGCCTCTGGCGCCTCGCGCGCCACATCAACTATGGCGGCTACGCCCTCTGGCGCGCCGGCTACTGCATGGCCGCGTCGGGCTGGGTCGGCGGCCTCGCCATGGGCCTGCTGCAGTCGTACGACTTTGTGGGCCGCGCCGTGCCGGTGCTCGATCGGTACTGCAGCGGGCGCTACGGGGCGCAGTGGGCGCAGTTCAAGAGGGAGGTGCCCTACGTGATTCTGCCGGGCCTCTACTGACTACTGAGGGCGTGCTCGGCGTATCGTGTGCATGTGCAATTCTACGTCTGCTTTCTGAACAACATGAAATAGGAAACGGGGGGGGATATAAATAGAGCGTGAATAAAGCTTGCCATCGTGGTACCGCCGACAGCAAGCGCCCAGGGTATCGATGCTACATGCTGTCCTCCATCTGGCGACTGCGCACCTTGGCCCAGTCGTCGCGGTCCTTCTTGCCGCCCTGCGCCTCGAGCCCCATGCCCCGCTCCACCCACTCCTTGCTGCCCATGTGGCTCAGCCGCGAGAGGGCGCGCGCAAAGGCAAACGCCTCCTCCTCGCCGGAGAACAGGTTCGACCCCTTGATCTGGTCAATGTTGTGGTCGAGGTCCTCGAGCAGGTGGCCCACGGCGGCGTCCGTGTCGGGCTGCTGCTGCTGCTGCTGCTGGTTCGTCTCGGCGCCCCGCGCGCGCAGCGACTCCTCCATCTCGGCCCGCGACAGGAAGAGCTCGGTCAGCGGCTTCTCGGTCGTCAGCACGAGCTTGGCGTGCGACTCGTAGACGGCGTCGAGAAAGGTGATGAGGCGGCGCGCGAGGTCGCGCTGGCGGTACGTCATGCCGGGCACGTCGGTGACGATGAAGGCGTCGTAGTTGCGCACGAGCTCGAGAAAGTCGGCCGCCGACGTCGGCCGCCCGATGAGCTCGTCAAACGTGAACCACGCGCAGGTGCCGCTGACGCGCGGCACGTGGATCGCGCGGCCCCAGACGTGCTGCGTCTCGGCGTGCGGCGCGCCGCCGTCGGCCGGGTCGCCGAGGAAGCGGAACCACTTTTCGGCGTGCGACTGCGCGTGCGCGTCGAGCGGCGTGTGGTACACGCCCGACGGCGGGCGCGGGATCTTGCGGTAGTCGGTCGGCGAGTCGAGGTTGATGACGTGCAGCCGGTTCTTCAACAGCTGGATCGCCGGGAGGAAGGATTCGCGCTGGATGCCGTTCTTGTAGAGCTCGTCGGGGTGGCGGTTGGACGTCGTCACGAGCACGACGCCGTGCGACATGAGCGATTCGAGGAGCCTGTCGAGGACCGTGTCAGTGAACGCAGAAAGAAAGGGAGGGCCCCGGCTGGCGTCGTTGTTCTCTCTCACCGTCGCAGGATCATGGCGTCGGCGACGTCAGTGCACTGGAACTCGTCGAAGCAGAGCACGTTGCCCTGCTCGGCAATGTCGGCGGCGATGAAGGGCACGGCGTCGACGTCGTTGCCGTGCTCGAGCTTCATCGTGTGGAGCCGCTTGTGGATGTCCTGCATGAAGTTGTGAAAGTGAATGCGCGTCTTGGACTTGACCGACGGCGGCAGCGTGTCGTAGAAGAGGTCCATCAGCATGGTCTTGCCGCTGCCGACATCGCCGTAGAGGTAGAGCCCGCGAGGCAGGTTGCTGGGGATCGCGCCGATCGTGGCCCTGCCCGGCTTGCCTCCGCCGAAGAGGGACCCGAAGAGGGACTTGGAGGGCGTGAGGGACGCGAGGTCGGGGTGTTCGACGGCCGGCGCCGCGTAGTTTGCCAGTTCGTCGTGGAGATGCTGCAGGCTCTCGATGATGCCTGGGACACGGGATCAGTCAGCTGCGGCCATGGCGACAGTCTTGGCAGCTGGTGCTGCTGGACCTTGCTCACCCCTCTGATGCTCGTCGTTTCGTAGGGCGCCAGTCTCGACGCGGTGGTCGTACTCTTGCAACGGCCCTCGATTGTGGTTTCGCACTGCGCCATGTCAGCTGGCTCGGTCTGCCACGGGGTTTCGCCTCTGTGCTGCTCTGCTGGCGTCGCCCTTACCATTCTTGGTATTCGCCGCCGCGACCGTCGAGGCCCATCTCTTCACCACGTGCTCTCGAGAGGATCGGGGCGCCGGGTGCAGGCGCGGTGCAGCGACATGCCCCTGGCTCGTCGTCGCTCGCGCTTCAGACGTGTGGCTCGGTCGACAGAGGCACGTCGTGCATAGCGTGCGACCTCGACCCTGCCTCGGCAACACGATGCGACCAGGCGCGTTGAGTCGAAGGCTGCGAAGCGGGGCAGAGGCGGCGCAAGGGCGCATCGTCGCGGTCTATAACATGCAAACGTCGAAGCAACTGCTCCGAGGCGGAATCAAAGCAAACGAGAAGGGCTATGCTGTCGCGGCTATGCTGTCGCGGCTGTTCATGAGACGTTTGCAGAAAGCGTGATGCAACCTGAAACCAATGGAGGGCGAGAATTTCGGTCGTGGCCGGGTCGATACGATCGGACGCATGTTCTGGCACCGACGGGGCACGCGAACACCAGTCTTCGTCAGGGTCTGGGTCAGGGTCAGGGTCAGGTCAGGGTCAGCGCCCGCCAAGTGACGTGAGCACCCGCTGTCCGAATGCCGAACCATGCCGATATACCTTAGTCTTAGGTTGCCTTAGGTAAGCCGAGTTGGAGGGGCAGCGAGACGCTCCCCGCAAACCTGAGCTGTCGTGATACTATCAACAGTGAGGCGAAAGGGAGTTAGATCCTCTGACCTGGGCTTTCCATGCAGCTTGACTTTCTCTTTGCTATACTATCGATCATCTTTATTTAGCGATGTCTTGAATCCCAGTCCTGCTCTCCAGCAGTATCATTGTCCAATTCACACAAACACCTCCAATCATCGACGCAACTGACAGCAGGCGATAGGGTTTAGAACAGTATGTGCTTGAATGACTCTCGAACTTCGTGTCATGCGCATCAAGGCAATCCCCTCCAGCACCATTCCAGTCCCCTCCCATTCACTGCTGGCATATCCGTTCACCAGTGGCATCACCACTTCACTCCCCCGCCCCCGCATCACACCACGAAATCCCCGTCACCTTGGCCTGACGGCGAAGCTGACGACAACCCTGCCTGAGGCGTCAGTGATGCAGTGCCAGAGTTCGACACATGAGGCAGATAGCTAAAACTATGTCACTATAAATACTACACCACTATATCACGTATTTCAGAGTCGTAGTCAATGACAAGTACTCCCCAACAAGATATTCGAGAAATCATACTTCCCAGACATAACCCACCACACATGCCAGACACGAATACATTACTCAACATGCAGCAGCCCTTTGAGAACACCAGGATCGTGTCGACCCGCCAAAGTGTCCATCACCACCACTCTGGCGCTGCCCGGCCATGCGCCATCATCGGCATCGTTCGGCTGGTCCAGATATTTCTTGCCAGCATGGTCATCATGATGCGCCCTGCCGTCCTCGACTCCATGTCAACAGGGGAGGCTGACCATGGCGACTGGACCGTGCTTTTCGGCATCGCCGCCATCTGCTACGCCAAATTATGCTACCACAGCCCATTCGGACCCCAAATGGCCTGTCTGGACTTGCTATGCGCGTGCTTTTGGTATCTCATACTCGCCACTTTTCGCGAAGACCACGTCGTGGAATCCTGGGCCGTGAATGCGCCCCTCGCTCTGTCGATTCAAGCCAGTCGCTTCTCAGCTCTACTCTAGTATGGAACGGGCCTCTATGGGTTGTCGAAGTGGTGGAGGCAGGATAATGGTCAGGTTCGGCCAGGCTCGGATGTTTCATGAGGGCCTCAATAAGAAGATGGAGGCATAATTTCGAATCATCACACATGGTATCATCACGCACGAATACGTCCAGATGATATGAGAGACATGATGCTTTCCTTCCGCTGTCCATCTGCCACACTGTGACGCAGCTTTTCATAAGTGAAGGGACCACTGCAGAGTCCTCTCAGGAGAAGACACGTTAGACGCTGCCCGCCAAGAGCAACGCCACCCCGAGAGACCCAAGAACACTCATCCTAGAGAAGTGCACTGAGCTGGCCAAGCTGTTGCTGCCCTCACGCGCACTCCCACCAGTCGATTCTGCCCCGCCCGAGGGGATTGCCTCCCCGGAGCCGTTGCCAGCCGTGTCATTCGCAGACGAAGCCGTCCCGAGCTCGCCCCCAAACGCCTCGGCGGGTGAAGACGAGTTCCGCCCCACGGCGCTCTGGGTATACACCAAGAGTGTCTGGTTGATCGTCGGGTTCACCACCCCCACCATGCCCATGGCACAGTGCTGCCCCTGGCTGCAGTAGAAGAAGATGGGCTCTGTGTCGTTGACAAGGACCGTGAAGACCTCCTCCTATCGTACGGGTCAGCGTGTGCATCGGGAAGGCGTTGCTCGATCGACTTGCCTCCTCGCCAGACGCAACAGGCACGAACCCCGAGAAGAACCCGCCGTCGTCGAGAGGAGAACAGGGCGCGCCGTATTCGCCCGCCACAACGCTGTGGTTTTGCGGGTAGAAGTGAAACTCGAGCACGTCGCCGACGTCGGCGGCGATCTGATCGGGCAAGAAGGAGAGCGGGATGCTGGCGACGTTGATCTCGATAGTCTTGGCGGCGACCCCTGCGCATAGCAGGCTAGCAGCGACCCAGTACTTCATGGTGAGTGCGACACCGTGGTTCAGGAGTACTCTGGGTGCAGTAGTGGAAGAGACGGATTGTTGATACACCTGATGAGGGGCCGGCCTGCGAGGGGTCCCATCGCATCTTCATGCTTTTCGCCGGCCAGTGCTCGTGCGGGCGCCCCAAGGCTAGAGCATCTTCCTTTGTAACAGGCGCTTGGTGGAAGGCCTATTCTTTTAAAAACTGTAGATGCATCACATAAAGAACCCATCTCAAGTGATGGTGCCGCCAAGGAAGTGGCGTGGCCGGAGCGACAAAAAGCCTTTATTGATGATTCTCACCGACAGCGTTCATTTCTTCCGAGCACCTCAGAAGAATACTGTGAGGGGCCCCAAAGTAGAATGTCTGCACCTACGGTGGTTGTGTCTCCTGTAGGGTGAAAGCAAGCGGCATGTCTGAACTCTAGTCAAGGATCAACATGGCTGTGCAGAGATGGCCTCGACCATATCATGTCTCATCGCCGTCAACACAATCAGGAACGATTACTGAAATGGACTAGCAATAACCGTAATGCACCATATTCAAAAAGCCAAAGCTACCAGAACAAGCCCCCCCCCCATTCTCTACTCACAATGATCCTCACCAAGCTGGAGAAAGCCCAACAGCGCTACCTCACATCAAGGAGAAGGACTCGAGAGGAAGCAAGACAAGACAGCGACATAGACGAGGCTTATATTCCAGAGCAAGAACACAAGTCGTTTCTCACATCATGGCTGCCGCGGATAAGCGCATGGCTCAGGCCCGACCGCGCCGGTACACCTGACAAGTCCTTTGTGCCCTGTCCCAAAATCACATTCCTCGTTGACGGACCCCCAGATTTAGTCTGTACCATTTGCAAAGTATCTGCTTTGAGGCTCTCACCTGAAGGCGACGGCGCTCATTCGACAGGTCAAACAGACAACGACAACAGGACGCCGGCCATCATGCCCTGCGGTCATCTTGCGTGCGCAGGGTGTTTGTCAACCTGGTTCGAGGAGCACGATTCGTGCCCGTTCTGTCGCCATCGGTTGGTGTACCGCAAGTGCCGGCACAAGATACCAACCAGGCGTATGACAGAGGGCAGCATCTATCTGATCCCGGCAACGATCCCGGACGGTGGTGTTATCCCAGACCTGTGCTTCTGCTGCCACGAGAAAGAGCTGCGAAGGACGGCAGAGATCAAACTGGAGGCCTGCCGGCGTAGGTTTCGCACGGCCAGAGGTCGTTTCCAGGCTTCGATGGGGGTTGAGCAGGCTCAAGTGCTGCTGGTGAGGAAGGCCGAGCTCGAAAGGGTCATGCTGGATGAGTACCATGTCAAGGCTATGAGCCACTGGCTGGGCAGCTGGTGACCAGGAGCAAGGAGGCCGCACGCGTGAAACAAATAAAGTTATCCAAACCTTTCAAGTTGCTGCTCGGCGTTCAACATACAAAATACAATGGGCTGCCACTACATGGTCTCTCTGCTGTGAACATGCCCGAAGAACAAAGAATCCGACATTTAATTCCACCACTGGCGCCTTCATGTTCATAGGGCGTGAAAATCCCGTGGCCATTCCTGGCGAAGGACAAACAAAGGAGACTTACGCAAGAAGCCACATTAGACGCCGAGAACACGTATTTCATTGTTCGCGGCCGAATTCTTCATTTCACAGCCAGAGTACAGACAGCCCTATAGACTACTGTTCTTTGTCATATACCATCAGACTTTGATCCTCGCTCGATGCCCGAGGCACGAGGGCCCGACTGCGGAGGTGAACAGGACCAGTCCGGGCCCAAGCTCGCTCATGCGATGCGCGGCGGACAGGTTTGCTGCCCGCAGTGAACAAAGCATATCCGTGAATCCAATTCACTCATATCTAGGAGCAGGGACTCTGACGGCAGACACCTGATCCCCAAGATCTGAAGACTCGACGAGCAGGCACAAGTCAATTGACTCTATAGGAGACGCCACTTGCCAGAGAATTTTGCATACCTATGTATTGGATTGTCACATCCGTCACACCTCAGCTCAACTATCATGGCCGGGAGGAAAGACGATGGTGGTGTGGTCAAAAAGGCCGTTTCCCAAAAGCGAAAGGTCCGCTTCGAGGACGACATCAGGGAAGACACGCCTCGTTCTGACTCCAAAAGACTCAAAAGCTCGTCGTCGTCGTCATCGTCGAAACCAAACCCACCACCTCTCTCAGAGCCCGACCAGCTCGCCGCGGAAACAGCACCCCTGGTCGAGCCACGCGCCGCGTCCCCGGCGCCCGAGGCGCCCGCCGACCTCACGCCCGCCGAACAGCGACGCAGGGCCGAACAGGAGCGGCGCGACGCGGCCAACGAGCAAAAGAGCCCCGTGCTCCCGACGCCGCGCGCGGTCCGCGAGGCGCACATCAAGAAGGAATACGCGCCCGACGACAGGGACACGGCGGAGCTGGCGGCCGGCATGCTCAACCTCGTCAGCCTCGCGGCGCGCATGAGCGCCTTGCCGCCGGGCGACGCCGGGCGGTACAGCGCGCTCGGCTACATCATCAAGCGGCTCGACCACCTCGACCTCGACGGCGTCGACGCGCGCGTCACGGACCTGACGCCGGCGCAGGCGGCGGCGGCGGAGCGCGACGTGCAAGCGCGGCTCCAGGAGGCCCAAGCGCAGCAGCGCAAGCTGTTCAATACGAAGAACACGAAAAAGTACGCCGCCGGGCTGCGCAGGTTCGTGGCTGATCCGCCGGCGTACCGGCGCGAGGTCGCGGCGCGGTGCGGGCGCATCTTCATCCATGACAGCTATGCGCGGGCGTTTGTCAAGTGGCTGCGGCAGCTGGACCGTGCGGCGCGTCTTGAGTGTCGGTATTTCCACGCGGTGAACTGGGCGCCGCGGAAGGTGATGGACGGAGAGACGGAGGTTTGGGTTGTCTAGGCTCTAGAGTGCTTGTGAGAGGGGGGTTAGAGACTCGTTTTCGCCTGTGTAGATGGACGCCTGTGTAGATGGGACGCCTGTGTAGATGACATGCAGACAACAAACGATGGCAACGCGGATTGTATTCATAGCGTTCATGTAGAAAAAAGCTTCTTTCTATCCGTCAGCCAGAGCTTGTTTCGCTGCGAGATGTAAGCCCGATCCCCGTGATCCAGACTGCCTGAGTGTCATCACAGGGCTTTCCGTTTCCCTCGCGGCGCCGTGTGGCAACCCGACCCAACTCCGATGCTTTGAAAAAAAAGAAAAAAAAAGGACGAGTGACATAGGAGAAGAAGAAGACACAGCATCCAGAACCTCGTGACAGGAGGCCCGAAACCCGAGTCGAACGTGTTTGTTTTAGTTTTACAAAAAGTAGTCCGCGACCGGCTTCTTCGCGGGCATACCGCGCGAATCCTGGGGTGCGGCCTGAAAGACGCGATACCGCCGCGCCGGGCCGTTCCTCGGCATGGCCTCGAGATCCTGCATGGCGCTCTTGGCGCCTGGCGCGGCGGCACCGCCGGTGCTGCGGTTGACGTCGCCGTTGCTGCGGGCGAAGAAGCCGGCGCCGGACTGGTCCTCGCACAGCTCGAGGAGGGCGGCGACGTTGCCGCAGCGGTAGCAGTAGTTGGGGGCGGACCAGACGGTGACGATGCTCGAGTCGAACATCTCCTTGAAGCCTTCCATGACGAGCTGGTGGGCGCGGGCAATGAGGGAAATGTCATTGCGGTGGTTGAAGACTTTGACAATATCAGCGCCGAACAGGAAACCGGCACCGCGGGGCGAGAGACCCCAGCCGTCAATGTCGTCGGGGTCGGACCACAGCAGGTCGCACATGGCGCCCTCGTGGGGCACCTCCTGTTTCCTGTCGAGCAGGCGGATCTTATCGACGCTGTCGACGAGGGGGCTGAGACCGCCGTGGACGCAGAGGACGGCGCCGCTGGGGTTGCCGACGCTGCCGCCGCTGCTCCCCGAGGCGCCGCTGCCGGGGGGCCCCGTCTTGTCGCCGGCCTGGGGGGCGTTGGGGTCGGGCTCTCGCTCGGGCGTCGGCAGGCGGCCTGTCACCCTGTGGAACCTACTGATGAGGTTGCCCGTCTGGTCGCACACCTCGATCTCGATCTGTTCGTCGATGGGCTTCTGTCCAGGGCTCGGCGAGAGCTGCTGGGAGGTGCCGAGGACGATGGCGCCGAGCGCGAGGTAGTCAAAGACGTCACAGCAGTAGCGCCAGACGTTGGCGGAGCCGTATTTTCGCATGCACTCGTCGTAAAAGCCGTAGACTGTTGTTATTTGTCGGGACTCGTGGTTGCCCCGGATCAGCGTCATTCGGTCGGGGTAGCGGACCTTGAGGCAGAGGAGGAGGAGGAAGGATTCGAGAGAGTAGAAGCCGCGGTCGACAAAGTCGCCTGGGCGTGTCAGCGTTTGGCAAGTAGAGTGCTACGCAGAGCAGCAGTGCTGAGCAGAGCAGCAGTACTGAGCAGAGCAGCAGTGTAGGGGACTGACCCATGAAGAGATAATTCGTGTCGGGCACGTCGCCGCCGACGCGGAAGAGCTCCATCAGGTCGTGGAACTGGCCGTGGATGTCTCCGCAGATCTGGGAGGATTAGGAAAAAAGGTCCCCTCGTCAAGAAGCACACAAGAAAAACAGGGGGGGGGGGGAAAGCGCCCACAGGCTCCCGCTGTGCGTACCGTAACAGGCGCCGTGACGGTGACGACGTTGCCCTCTTCGATCAGGAGCTCGCGCGCCTTGTGGCAGAGCTGGCGGACCTCGGCCTCGGGGATCGGCCGACACGCGCGCAGTTGCGCGATGGCCCTGCAAGTGCACTCGGTCAGCGGTCAGCGGGTTGTGATGCGACAGCGCCGGCCGTGGAGAGCCGGAAAAAGGGCAAAGAAGCATGCGTACCGGTCAAGGTCGCTCATGGTGGGGAGGGGCTGGAGAGCCTCGGTTTGGCGATGATGTCAATCTGGGTAGGTCGAGAAACGGTTGACGGGCGAAGAATGTGTGGAAAGTCTGCAGCAGGGCTGGCTATGTTGCTGTCGTGCTACCAAGCCAGATGGCGACGTGCGATAGAAGCTATTGATGGGGGGTTTGGCAGGAATATCCGTCGTTTGTCGCGTGTTCGCCAAAAAATCGGAGAGTAGCTGGCTGGGATGGAGCAGCCGGGAAAGGCCCAAGATGGCTCGGTCAGCCTTCATGACCGACGCCAGCGAGGCCACAGGGCATTTAGCGCAGCGCGAGCCCTGGAGCGCACTGGGGGATGCTGTGCGGCGCAGGTCCCAGCAGGCGCCCGGAGCAAGCGCAGGTCCCAAAACAAGCGCACGTCTAAAGCAAGCGCACGTCGGAGCCTCGCACATACATACATGTACAGTCAAACTCCGAGGTACGTACCTATGCCCCCAACCACAGCCAATCGGGCGCTGCATTGATGCGATGACTTGTGACTCCACTTTTACAGCAGCCACGGAGCCAGTGAACATCACGCATCGCCCAAAGCCGGTTGTCGTCCATGCATCGTCGCACGACAAATTTGGCTGCTTCGGTCTTTCCTCGACGCCGGCAACCCGTGTCTTCAACAGCCTCGCCATACCCTCCCGACGCCCCATCCACCCCTCACTCTGGCTGGCATGCCGCGGCCATAGGTGAGGCGCCATCGATTGATCCATTGGCATCGCAGAGAACGTTTCATTGACCTCGCCAGCGACGGCGAGACAAGTCCCTCCTACACTCGACTCCCGACACGCCACCACGACGACACATCTATCCACACGACATAGACACACACACACACACACACACACACACACATCATGCCACCACACCTGCATCCCAGGTCACGAATGACCTCCTCCCTCTTCGCCACCACCGTCGTTGCCAGCTTCTTCGTCGTCGGCCTACCTCACATCCTGCCGTGTCCGGCACCACGCGTCGCCTACGCCGATGGCGAGGTCGTCGTCGGCGAGGACGGCAAGAGGAGGCGGCGCCGTCGCCGCGACAATCCGCCCGAGATCAAGGACGGCATCGTCCACTTTGACCAGACCCCCGACGCCGCCGCCGCCGTGAGCTGCTCCAAGGACGACAGGGCGAGTCGAGAGTGTCCCGTGCCCAGGCCAGGGGGCATGCTGGGCGAGTGGCTAGGCTTTCACGCAGAGAAGAAGGTCGACGACAGGACAAATTGAACAAAAATAAAAATAAAAACAAAATCGGCAAATGGCAAATGGCAAAAGGTGCACTCAAGATGAAAGCAAGAAAAAGTGTGGCTCCTGTCGTCTGAAAATCGAGCTGCCGTCACAAAGTGCCATCCCAATCGCCCACGCCCCTCGTTTATTTTCCCCCCCTTCGTCCCCTTCCACCATCATGTCACGGCATGCGTCCAATTGCCCACGGGACAGTGGAACACGTTTCAAAAACCCCCCCTGGCGAGCCCAAGTTTCTCTTCTTGCCATTCCGGACGATCGTGGTCGATGACACGTCGGAGTGCCCCCTGTATGGGGCGACAGGGGGAGGGGCGTCAGGGGTCATCCAGTTAAGCATATCGTCGATCGTCCCGTCAACAACGCCCCGACCATCGGCAAAAAGGGACACGACTGAGCCCCTTCGTCGAAGACATGCCATCTGATGCTGGCAGGTGGCGGAGCTTGCCGATGGCTGTTCCTCTGCGGGATCTTGGCATGGCATGGGCCTGGGCAGCTTGTTCTGCTACTTTGCCGACGCCCTTGCCAACAGGCAAGCAGGCGAAACGATCCTCCTGATGAAACCGGCAGCCCAAGCCTTCCTTGGAGTCGCGTTGGCGATACCCGGTCGATGACCGAACCAGGGCCTCTCGAGGGCGGAAGGGCGGGGGATGCTGCGCGAACGGGTTGCGTGCCTAGGTAGCCAGGCTCAAGAGTACGGCAGTTTGGTTTTTGTCAAGTCTAGCAGTGTGACGAAAATAGTGTAATGAATACGAGATGTAGGTATATAAGACCGTGGTCTGCCTCACTTTCCATGCTCTCTTCTCCTTCTACAACTGCAGGACTGTGTCTCTCTCTTCAACTTCTTTCTCTTCCATCACACCAGAGGTTCGTTTTGTTTTTCTTGACTCCCAAAGACAACAGTGTGGGAAAAGACAAACTTGCTAACCGTGACAGCTGTGCTCTTTTTCCGTCTCTCCCTCTACCTCCATTTTTTTGTTTTCTTTACTCAAACCATCCACTCCTTCAAATCAGACCAAGCCAAAGGTATGTGACTATAACCCCCCAGGTCCGCGATATTCACACAGAGCCTGACATGTCCCAGCTCCACTCATTTCAACCACCCACCATGAAGTCCTGGACCATCGTTCTCGTCGCCACTGGCCTGGCGTCAGCACTCAGCATCCCCCGCCCCATCGACGCCCGCGCCGACTTTTCCATCGCCATCCAGCAGGCCGGTGCCGCGCCGCCCGCCGCCGGGGAGGCCGCCGCACCCCCTGCTGCCGGTCAGGCCGGCGAGGGCGAGGCCCCCGCCGTCGAGGAAGGCCAGGACGAGGCCGGCGCCGAGGAGGGCGCCGCTTCGCCGCCTGCCGAAGAGGCCGCTCCCGTCGAAGAGGCTGCTCCCGAGGTGACGGCCCCGCCCGCCGAGGGTGAGGCACCTGCCGAGGGTGACGCTGCCGCGTCGGAGAGCCTGGCCGAGTCCAGCACCACCACCGAGGAGGCCGCCCAGGAGACGGCACCCCCGGCTGAAGGCCAGGACGGACAGAACAACGACGACAACAACAACGATGACAATGACGATAACAACAACAACAACAATGATGGAGAGGACGGCCAGGGAGGCCGCGGCGGTAAGAAGAACAAGAACAACGGCAACAACATCATCGACGAGATCCTCGGCGGCGGCGGGCAGGGACGCGGCGACAAGAAGGGCCAGCAGGCGGCGCTCACGCAGGCCATTGTCCAGCTGACACAGGCCATGGGTCTCGGCGGCATCCTCAACCTCAACGGCCTCGCCAACGTTGGCATCGGCCAGGAGCTCCAGCTGCTGCTCCAGCTGCAGCAGATTGCGCAGATCCAGTCGGCGGGCTTCATCACCCAGGTCGACATTGTGGGACTGCTGCAGCAGAACCAGCTCTTTGGTACGTTGGGCGCACAATGCAAGCAAGCGTCACATGTTTCACCTTTTGCTAACCTCGTGACCAGGAGGACGTGGAGGCATCTTCAAGCGCCAAGAGAAGCTGCTCGTCAGCAAGGCGTAGAAGAGTAAAAGGGTACCAAAAAGGAACACCGTTGGAGGGGTTTCAAGACCTGGAAAAGCTTGCGCGAAGGAGGGCACTGGGCTTTCTTTCCCTTGGCAGGGAAGTCCGGGCCTCGCGCCGAGCGGTATGTGATGGAGGGGATTTCTGGCTTGCCAGCCTGAGCGAGACAGACATCCATGTTCAATAAAATAATTCCTATGATATCAGTCCTCGCCTGCGGCGCTTTCTGTGTTGGGTGCTGTCGTTCGTTTGTCCAAGCACTGGCGCTGAAATTTGGATCCTTGGCGACTCGACTCGGCCAGCGAACCCTTCGACGTCGGACTGTGCAGTTGCGCGCTTTGGTCATTCGCAGAGGACGATGTAGGGTGTACGCCATGCACCTACCATACATATCGAGATGCCATTGCGTGCCATCAGATACCAGACACCAGATTTCTTAGACAACATGGCCTGCCGCCAGATGCATCGTGAATGAAACCAGGCATGGCCCTCTGCCCTGAGAAGCAGGCCCACCAGAGACATGCACGGTCTCAAGGCCGTCCCAAGGCCGTCCCAATCCGCCGTCACCATATCTGCCATCCCATCTGACGAAAGAGCTGACAGACGTGCGCGTAAGGCGACACCAGCCTGGCCGAGGTGACACCAGCCTGGCCGAAGCGACACCAGCCTGGCCAAGCCAAGACACTGTCACGTTCGTCTTGTCAGAAAGCTGCCCGGATGTCCCCAAGCTCCGGGCCCAGCACAAGTGGCAGCGTCAATGCAAACTGTGCATCATCGGCGGCCTGTGACGGTCTGAGGGAGGTGCTCGTCTGTCAGTGGCCGCTCGGACGCATGACAGGAGCAGCCAGATCCGACACGGGCGGGGTGACAGACGTGCAGGGGGTTCATGTGCATGCCTCTCGTACCGAAGGCTCCTCTACGTAGCAAGGGGGGGCTTCTGTGTGCGAGGCTCATGTGGCCATGTGGGTGGTCGGATTGCCCTCGGGCGTGTGCGCATGTCGCCAAACCTTACTTGAGCCTCTTAAGGCGCCCCAACCAAGTACCAAGGACCCTTCTCTGGTGGGTGTTTGGTGTACATGTACCAAGACGCCCAAGACTCGCAAGGCGCGCCCAAGGCCTCCGAGAGACGCGGCTCTGCAACTGCAAACAGCCTGCGCCTTGACCTCGACACCTGCATCTACCCCACAAGGAATCCCACGCCCACGTTTCTTCGAACCAGTTCCTGGCAGTTCTTGGCCGTCTTGGGGCGTCGTGTCCGAGTCACGCCTTTGGGGCCAGAGAGCATCTTGGACCGCTTCGGCGAAGCAGCAGGGAAAGGAAGGAAGGAAACGGAAGAAAAAAAGCCATCCTTTGGTGTTTGACCACGCCTGATCCTCGGTCACCAGCATCGGCAAATGAATCGCGCCCACTCTTTCGTCGTCTGATATCGTCAAGGACCCCCCCCCCCCTTCCTACCCCCCCAAAACCAGTGTCACGCTGTGACTGTACCGTACACTTGTGCCTCTCTGCTATATGCCAACGTCACACTCTCACCCGCGCATCGAAAAGCTCATCAGACGGCCAGCCGCCCAGACGCCGATCCCGCTGTTCCCACCTCACCCTGAGGAAGACCTCTCATCCGGTCCTTGGCTTTTCCTCACACCGTCTCGCCGCTGCCGGATGTCCCAGCTATTCCCCGTAACCTCCTGTCGTCATTGGACCTGCCTCGCGTGATCAACAGGAAATCCTGCTAAATCCAGTCTTCGTTTCCCAGATAGACTTAAAAGTCGTCCATCTACAACCAAGTCCCCCGCCCCTGGGCTTTCATGCGGAGCTGAGCCCCTTCGGCAACGCAGGTCCCGTCCCCAGGATGGCACGTCGTCTCAAAGCGCTACCATCCCAGCCCTGCCGCTGCTCCTGTTCCTGCTGCTGCTGCTGCCAACCACCTGCAGTGCTCGGGCAACCATGTACTATGTTCCTTGGCTGTTTGTACGGCACTTGGGACGATGATACGTCTGTCCCTCGTGAGCAGCCCCCCCCCCTTGCGCCCCTCAAGATGCCATCCGACTGGTAAAGGTGCCACGACGTGCGCACGGGGAAACGTATCGTCCCATGCCAGGCCTGCACTGAGCCCCATGATGTGACCCCTTGCTCTCCCCTGTCGATGTTTGACTGAGCCTAATCTTTGTGTATGGGAAGGCAGGGCCACAACTGGTTCGCGATGGACACGGATCTTCCTCAGAGCAATCTTCCGAGGGGAAGGGGAGGGGGGAGGGGGAACCGTGCCAGCCGCCTCGTCTGCTGCCCCGAGATACCATCCTTGGCACGCCTGATATATAAGAGGTCGTCCCGTCGTCGACAATGCAATCTTCTTTTTTGTTTCCTCATCCCACACACAATAATCTGGTCCGGTCTCATTCCTTCTCATACTTTTCCATTCTTTCTCTTCAGAGGTGCGTCTCCTGGATGATCTTCACCAGTCTCCAGCCAAACATCCCCTTCCCCCCCTGAATATTCTCCGACTAACAAACAACCCTCAAGCTGTGCTCGTTGTTCACTTCACTCCCTTCTTCTTCAAAAGATACCCTGAACACCCAGAGCTGTGCTCATTCCTGTCTTGTGTCCTATAACTCTAATTCCCCTGCAAACAACCACTCACTATCAATCAAACCAACCACACACTCCCTACCGCCAACATGAAGTTCTCCACCATCATCGCCGCCGCCATGGCCACCTTCGCCGCCGCCGCCCCCGTCGCCGACTCCAACACCGCCGCCTCGACGCCGTCGCTCCAGTCCCTCGAGTCCCGCGCCGTCTTCGACCTGTCTCAGCTCAACGGCCTGCAGGGCTTCCAGAACGTCGACCTCAACTACCTGCTGCGCCTCAACAGCGTCGACCTCAACCTCTTCGCCCAGCTCGGCCAGGTCCAGAACTTCAACCTGCTCAACTTCCAGCACCTCTTCAACGTCCAGCAGTTTGACGTCCTCGCCCTGCTCCAGCTGCAACAGCTCCAGACCCTCCTCGCCCTGCACGGCCAGGGCGTCTTCAACGGCCTCAACCTCGTCGACTTGCGCCTCGGCGGCCTCAACCTCGGCCTCGTGGGCGGCATCCAGGGCGTCAACCTCGCCCAGTTCATCGGTGGCGACGTCATCCCTCAGGTCGCGCAGATTGCGCAGCAGCCCAGTATGTAGCCCTCTTCACCCCTCCTCCTTGCCACAATGTTCTCGCCAGCTTGTATCACGACTAACAATGCCATAGCAAACTTTGTCATCGTCGCAAAGAACTAAGTTGCACAGAATTGATAGTGGTTTCCACCGATCCGAGCATCCCCCGCCCCGCTTCCCTGGCCGGGTCACTAAAGAACAGAGGACTCGGGATCGGTGCAGAGGGCTTGTTTGGCAGTGGTAGCATTGCGAGTTGTTGTCGCTGGTCGAGTTAATGGTTCACACGGGCAATGCGGTGCATCTGTCATACTCAGAAAGGGGGGAGCATGAAGCGGAAGAGAGAAGAAGATTTATATGTCGAATCGAGCATCTTCAGCATCTGGTCAGCGCTGCCTTGAGCTTGCGGCTCGGCCTCTGGCCTGACCTGAGGGTGCGGATGAGAATGAATGAGAGCCAAAGAAATTACCAGAACAAACCCGTCCCTCCTCTGCAACGTGCTACCAGCTATTGGCTCAATGTACATACACGTGTATTCATGCACCATGGGTCGTGCTGCATCGCGCCAGCAATACGACTAGAATCTAGCCCTGGCGAAATAGTGCGACTCCCTAGATCCGGCGAGCCTGCTGAGGCCATTCGCATCAGCTATTGCAAAAGAAGCTAAATGTTCCAGCCACATGGCAGAACCGTCTCCCAGACTTCCTGAGCCCTCCCGTCCTCCTAAAAAGAAGAAATCCAGACCCTTGGGTCTGGACCCTTGAGCAACAACGGGATATCACGCCGCCAGCGACACACAAAGTCGTTAGTCTGCCCTTTCAGGATAGTCGCACCTGAGAAGGCAAAGCCTAGGCGAGAAATATTGCCAAAGGCGTCCTAGCACCCGCACCTGATCGGGTTCAAAAGTCTGAATTGGTTCAGGTGCCACTGGCGTTCTAGATTCAGGTGTGCTCTTCAACAATGATGGGACGAAGCCGCTTCAGGGCAGGTCGTGAGGCCAATGCACTGGCCATGGCTTCCAATGTGGTGTCGTCTGGCGGCCATGAGGCTCACTTAGGGCGGTTCCAGGACGATGGCACGGCCACGACGAATTACAGCTGAATGACGGACAGAATTGGCGTCAGATTGGTCAAATGGATTCCTGTCGCGGCCCGGGCCCAGATCCAGCCAGAGAAACTGAATGAGAAAAAAAAACGTGCCGCATCAGTGAGCCACGAGTCAACAATAGCCTCCTTGCTCTGCACAAATGCGGCTGATATTGCAGCTTCGTCCGATACAATAAGCGTCACTGCGACGCGCGATGGGTTTTCTGTACTCAAGGTCGGCACTCTCGTCGTTAGTCGGCCATGACAGCCGGCCGGAGGATTACAATTACTGCCGAATGAAACCTGACATTAGCGTGGGGTGTGTGCTGTGTCAGTGTTTCTTCTCCTCGTTCCCGAATGGGTTTCTCGCTACACATTCAACAGTGAGATCTTGTCTCACCCCCCAAAACCCGGGTCTTTGGCGCTCGTGCTGGCTTGCTCGAATCTCGATGCCCTCATGTGGCGCTCGCTAGAATCGAAAAAAGGGTACCTTCGCATCGTTCACCAGTCGCTATTCAATGTCTGGTGGGTTTTGGATGGCGCCCAAAAACGAGGTCTGCCAAGGTCTGAGTAGAACGGTCAAAGTTTGGACGAAGATGCTAGTTGACACGCTACACGAGCTGCTGGAATGTACCGTACAAGAGCCCGCTGACACGACTGGCGTTACTCGGAGAATGGGGTCGGAGTTGATGGTGATCTGCCCGGTAGTAAGACCCACGATGGGAGACTAGTATTTTTGGCGAAAGATCGTGTTCTCCAGTGGGGCGAGGGGTTTTCCAATATGCGCACAGTTGGTGACGAATTGCTGTTTGCCCTGAGCATGGTTCGATGCAACGTCGGTCCCGAGCCCGGCTTCCGTGTCGATTCACTTCGGCTCAACCTTGCGTTGCACTTCGCTGTTGAAGCCACATTAAGGCTACTGAGTAGAAGTTGAGTTGCTCCGATATCGAGTCTGTGTGAACCCTGGTTCATGCGACTACCTTGCATCGCGTTGCGTCTTTAGTACAGAGCTCAACTGCATCACAAAGAAGGCGGTGACGAATGCAGGTAGGCGATTGCGGCCGTAGATGCCCAACCGGTGGTCAGCGAACGTGGGCTTTACTTTACTGAGGACGATGAAATCTTTCTTCACCCTTGGCTGACTATCCGTCGAGGAAAGCGCATTATGCTCGTCGGGCCAGCCAAGATGCAAGTAGCGATTATTGATGCAAGGCCGACAGTTGTGTCTTGCTGTGTCTGGAGGAAGTGAGATTGTTCGAGTCGGTCCCAATTAGGACGCCTAATCCCAATTCGATGCACCATGCCTTGTCACAATTTCTTTGTACCGCCGATGTGGTTTCTTTGTTGTAAGCTGAGAGACGGCTTTGCGATCCTCAGCCCTAGCAATGGCGTTACGCAAGACATGTGCTGGCTGGTCCACTGGTCTCTGTGGTAGAAGGGCGTCGAAAATCTGCCTATGGGCGTCGTGGTGGTGGCTTGGCAGCCCGTTAGTGGGCTCGACCTGAACGTGCTGAAGTCCGGAAAAGTCTCCTTGGTCTCGGTATCTGGGGAAAGCCGCTCACTTGTCCTATTTTCGTTTTCGCTGAATCGCTGTTCGACTCTTGACTGCGCTGTGGAGATGGGACAAGCTTGTCAGAAGGCGACGCATTGATCGGCACCAAAAAACCCGCCTGACGGGACTCGCGGCAAGGAACACGAGTGCCAGACATCCGATAGTTCGTCTCTCAAGTAGGAGCGAGTGGATTGGTGTCGCACTGCCCTTGACGCCAGTGTTTATGTGTGCATCTCGGTATAGGCTCTGCCCAGAATCAAGGGACCTGCCAAGGCACATCGTTGACCGATCCCAATCTCCTTCACCATCGCTGGCATACAAAGTCCTCGCAAGGTTCAGGGACAGATGCGACATCATGATCGCAGATGTGGCGTCGCTGGGGTTGAGCCCGAGAGGCAGGGATCGAGGGTGGAGAGGAGCTCTTGTTCCTGAAAGTCAATCAGGCAGTCTGCTGTAGGAACACACATGCTTGTCGGTTTGTAGAGCACAGCGTTGCCTTATTTGCCCGTCCTAAGGATGGGGGACGTCCATAGCGATGTCATCAGTTCATGCGTCACGCTACCCATTTCCCTGATTGGCGAAGGCATGCCGACGGGAGGTCAGTGATTGATTGGAGATGATGACGAGATGCCTGTGATGAACAGCGATCATCGGCCGAACTGTCAGGTCGCTGGTGGTGGTGGTGGTCATGGTGCATATCTTTCTGCAGTATCTGTCTCTGTCTCCGTCTCTGTGTCTGGCATAGCTAGCTGGCTACGTACCTACCTTACCTACCAGGTAGGTGCCTTACCTGCCCTGCCCTGCCTTTGTGGTAGCTCCTGCAGCTCTGAATCAGTATTTTGAAGGGACGGGACTTTAGGTTGGCAAGAGTGATCTGATGATCCTGCCCCTGACGCCACGCCTGCCCCATCGTCACTCTGCACCGGGGCAAACCCTTGGCGCCAAAGAGGCCCTGTAAAGTTCGGTGCTTGTCCTCTGAAGGGGATCCCCTGGCTGGGCCCTGGATCCACTCACCTGCCGGCTGCGCCATCACCGCCATGGCCAACCGAAAATATGGCTGTTTCAGAGCACTACCGCAGGGTACCTTCGGTCATGCGCGGTGAACGCAGAGCATCGGGTACACCCGCGTACCCTGCTGACCGCCCACGCACTACCCCCATCGAGAAACACAACTCACAGTGGGCTTCAGCCTCTCATCAGCACGCCTTTGACGTGCTCGCGCTCACTTCTCCAGCTCGGGCCGTGGGCTCTCGGGCCAGGGGCCTTAGGCCTCGAGCCTTTGAGAGGGGAGGGCCCCAAGGGCCCTTAGACCGTGGGCCTTGCACATCGCAGCAGGTGCATGGGACCAGGAGCTAACCCGGGCCTTCGTGGATCTCCATCCCCTTTCTTCCTCTCTCAGCCAAGCAAGAGCTCGGGTCATTTTCCTCGTGTTTCCTCTTCCCCTAAAGCAGCTCTCAACTCCCCCCTCCCAATCCACACCCCCCTCCGAACAAGGCCACGGATATATATATATACCACCGAACCTCCCCTCCCCCCCTTGGAGCAGTCGACCGCTCCGTAGCTCTACCACTTCCTCTTTCGAATTCAGCCTCCGAGAAAATCGGCAATAACCAGAGTCCATAGTTCTAAAGCTATTCGCCACTGACCGGAGTCTGACCACACGAGCCTTCCTGCTTGATCCGTCTTGGACGAAATATGAGCAGTGTCTCTGTGCGTGCACCACGTTTGAGGATTGGAAGAGTCGACCCTGTCGTGCCACCACCGCAGGCCCAACCATAGGCGCTCACGTTCAAAAGAAAGTTCTGTCATCATTGGCAAAGGCTCTTCTGCGAGTCGATGTGTGACGGGAACGAAACGAAACGAAACAAAACGGAACGTTCACATCCATACATCCATATCTCCGTCCACCTATCAGCCAGCCTCTCAGCAGCCAGCGTCAAAATGGGCATCATGGCACGAGATCCCGCTGTTGTCTCAGACGACGACTACGAAGTCGAGGACATGTACTTCACCTACCGTCCGCTATCGAACCTACCCACACCACCGCTGTCCTCGCGAAACTCTTCAGCCGACCACAGCCCCAAGGTTTCTTTCGACGAGCTTGACGCCGAGCTGCTCCAGGACAAGTACTTCGGTATGCGCAGCTACCTCCTAACATGCTCGATTCGGTTGTGTACTAACAACAGCGTCTTTGTAGGCCCTGCCGTCCATCTTATCAACCTCGTCCCCACCTCCGCATCTCTCCGCACGCCCTCCACCAGTGCTGTCCAATCGCTCCTTGCACGCACCGCCCTGCCTCTCGAGTCGATCGCCCTCGCATCCTGCATCCTCGACTCTCTCAACTCCAAGTTTGCCCTCGCCTGGCGCCTCTCCTGCCCGCTCATTGCCGATCCCAGCCTGTCGCCCAGCAAGCGCCACTCTCTCGCGGGGCCTTTCTTCCAGCAGCGCCAGATGCACATCGACTCTGTCCAGCCCGAGCTCATCATTCT